ATTCCTCCAAGACTCCCACCCGTGATAAAACAGCACTCCAAAAAAAAGTGATAAGGTGCAACACTCCACACCAGTGTTACCATCCAAATAAACTAAAAACCATTACCCTCTAATAAACATACATCCAAAATAAATGGTGCCATCTTCTTGTGGAATAAATACTATTACCCTCTTGCAATGCAGACCAAGCAGAATTCCTTCAAAGCAATCCAGAGTTTCCCCCTCTTCGGAAGCTTCTATTTTGCTTCCAATCCACCTTCCCAGTTCCTCAAAAGGGGCAGATAGTACACAACTCAGTGAAGTAATAAAAAGGATTTCACAATTTATTAGTATCTTACATAAAAAAACGCCAGCGTCCATCCTCTCCCACAGTCCATGTATCTGAATTCCAGTGTTCAAGATGTGCCGCTACTTCCGGTTTGAAATCGTATAGTACGTCCTTACGTCCTTGACGCGTTTCGTCACTTCCGACTGTTTCACAAGGGTTCCGGACGTCCAATGTGCGGCTCCTCTTAACTCTAAGTACTTGCACAGGCTGTATGTATCTCTGCCCACAGAATTATTCTAAGCTGGGGAACTGGTGTTCTGTATTTTTGTTCAGTACATTGTTAAAGAAAAAAAAACTAATGCACGCCTGGGCTCAAGCATTGATACTAATACAAGTGAACATAAAATCAGTTCACCTGGGAAGGTGGATTGGAAGCAAATAGAAGCTTCCGAAGAGGGGGAAACTCTGGATTGCTTTGAAGGAATTCTGCTTGGTCTGCATTGCAAGAGGGTAATAGTATTTATTCCACAAGAGAGATGGCACCATTTATTTTGGATGTATGTTTATTAGAGGGTAATGGTTTTTAGTTTATTTGGATGGTAACACTGGTGTGGAGTGTTGCACCTTATCACTTTTTTTTTGGAGTGCTGTTTTATCACGGGTGGGAGTCTTGGAGGAATCACTTTCAGTTTTCACGAGTGTTTCTTTTTGTTGTAATGATAATGCACTATATTTGAGTTTATATTTTTTGAGGTATCCTGATTTTGAGGTCCTGATTGGAATTCAGCAAAGTGGAGGGTTCCTTAACGTTTGAAAAACACTACTTATTGGAAAGCACTGTATTTTTGGACTTTCATTTTTGGACTTATATCTGGACATTTGTTGGTATTTGTTTTGCACTGGTGGGAGGTGAGGGAGTATCGAAAAGATATTATTTACATTTTGTTTGCACTTTCAAGGGTGAGAGTGATACTTTTCGTAAGGGAAATTTAGAGTATTTAATATATTTATTTGCTGTAAAAGTAGCCATGGATTTCTAACTTTGGTTTTGGAGACCCGATAAGATATCTTAGTGGAATGCCTCCCAGTAAAGCTCCCCAAGCTGCTCTGTGTAGGATTTGAAAGTCATTTGTTCATACTCCAGACTATTATGTAGACAGGCTATTTCTAAGTTAATTGAGTCAAGAGATTCAAGCATCACAATCACGCTCCACAGGGATTAATTATGAGTCGCAATTAGAGCTTCAAACATATTCGAAAATCTTTCTATTACCAGACAATGTCTTTTTCTCTTTTTGTTCTGGGTCCTGCTGCTTTGCGAGAGGAAACCTGTCTCCCCACTGGTCATTGTATTGCAACAGTCATCTGTCTTTGGCCAACCTTGGGCAGTCATGGTGATTCAATGACATGGGAGGAATATGCATGTTGGGCCACCAAGCCTGTGATAGTTGTTTGCAAATTGGCTACTTAGTCAAAAATGTGTCCAAGCCTGGGGTTAATCTGTGTATGTTATGGTTTGCAAAGCAGATAAAGAATCATTTGTCTCACATATAAAGCATGACATTCATTCCTCTCTATGCATGTCCATCCCCATCAGAGTTCAATACAAGTTTACTACTAATTGAAGTGTAGGGTAGTGTAGTGTGGTTTTTATCATAATTACTAGTTTGGAAGGTGCTTTACAGGACTCGTTAAACTTCCTATTCAGCCCCCACAGTTACCTCTTGTACCACTAGCCCCTCCCTCTTAGATTGTAAGCTCCAAGGAGCAGGGCCCTCCTAGCCCTCTTGTATTGAACTGTATTGTTGCTGTATTGTCTCCCGTTATATTGTAAAGCGCTGAGCAAACTATTGGCACTATATAAATCCTGTATAATAAGAATAATAATATATGTAATCAATTTACTATCATTAAATAAAATCTATTACTACATGTAAAGGATCTATGTTCAAGACTATATATCAGAAATTCCAGTAAGGCTGGCCATACGTTTTATACAATTTGCTTGTTCAATTTCTTTTAGATTTACCTTCAACTACTGTATGTAGTGCAAGGACCTGCCTGATTACATACAAATTGAAAGTGTTTAGGTTTGACCTTATATTATTTGGTTTGGTAAATCTAAAGGAAAATTTATACAAGAAAATTGTATAATGTATGGCCAGCCTTAGATACATTTACTACACCACATTTACTATCTCTCCCTTACAAATAGAACTCCTCAGAGGATCTCTTACTATTCTAATATCTCTCTCATATCTTCCTAGATTGTAAGCTCGAAAGAGCAGGGCCCTCAATCCCCTCATGTTTTGCATTGTATTGGTATTGTTCTGTCTCATGTTCTGTCCCCCTTTGTAATGTACAGTGCTGAGCGAACTATTGGCGCATTATAAATACTGTATAATAATAATATAATAATATCTCTATATGGAATAGTTGTATCTGATTTTTTACTAATTCCCATAGGTCCTCATTAGATCAAATGACTATCTTTCTTCCTCTCTATTGGCTAATATGCCACCTCTGTATAAGGACTAAATGGTCTCTTGTATAACAAAAGTTGTCCAGAAAAGCACCCTCCAGACTGAATTCAAAGAGCACCAACTAAAGCAAATAACCTCTTAGCCTAACATGTTTCACCGCAGACATTTGCGGCTTCATCAGGAGTACATACAAAAAATAAAGCCCAGTGCCCATAATAATTCCATAATAATAAGGAATAGCCCATAATAATAAGGAAGAACGCCACTGGCGTGTGACAGATGAGTTTTATATAGACTCCCAAGATAACCATATCAAGAAATAGGGATATTTCTACAGGTAATGGTAAAGGCAGAAAGTGTTTTATTTTGTGTGTTGTGTTTTTTTTTTTTTTTTTTTTTTTTTTAAACCTTAAAGAGGTCTAGGCTCCCCCAAAAAAATTAAGTCAGCAGCTACAAATACTGTAGCTACTGACTTTGAATATAAGCACACTTACCTGTCCAGGGGTCCAGCACTGTTGATATCCAGGGCCAGTTCTCCACTAGCCTCCGGGTTCCTGGTGCCGGTATTGCAAGTAAGGGAAACCAGAAGTGAAGCCTAGCAGCTTTGCAGCCGGTTTCTCACTGAACATGCACGAGTTGCACTGTGCTTTGTGAATGGTCCTGTAGTCTTCTGGGACCTGTGAAGTGTCCCAGAAGACTGCAGGTGGGGGGGGGGGGGGGAGTGGGGGCCGAACTGCCAAAACCAGGTACGCACTCCCCCTTTCCCTCCCAAAAAAGTACCAAATGTAGCAGCAGTGAAGGGGGGGGGGGGGGGTGGAAAGTGCACACAAGTGGAGCTTCCTCTTTTGGATGGAGCTCTGCTTTAATGCATTTTCTGCATTAAGGTAAAAAAATCTTTTTTTCAGCTCCCTCTCCCAGCTTCCCTAAATACTTACCTGAGCCCGATTTTGATCCAGCGTTGTGCCCGAGGGCAGCATCTCTCTCTGTCTCACACTCTCTCCTCTCTGGACATCTCTCCTGCTGCTGTCAGTCACAGACTGTGAGGGGAGATCAGGGGGAGCAAATCATGCTGTGAGTGTCAATGGACACTGCCTGGCTTGGGATTGAGCCCGCAGGAGTGCCCCCATAGCAGGTGGCTTGCTAGGGGGCAATCAGAAGAGGGGAGGAGCCAGGAACACTGGGGAGTGACCCCAAAAGAGGATGGATTGGGGCTGTACTGTGGAAAAACCCTTCCACAGAGCAGGTAAATATAACGTTGTTATAAAAAAAAATTACCTTTCCACTTACTTTAGGTATTTCTGAAATATGTCCAGTATTAGGAATCTAGTTATTTACAAGACTGAAGTAGAAAAGTAGCATTTTACAGAACACATCAATTCATTTCACTGCCAGAGGGGATTATGAGAGTTCATGATATTGAAGTTACATTTAGTGGAGTGTTCTGAAAACAATCTGTGTAGTTAATAGGAGACAGCTGTTTACTCGAGCTTAAATGCAAATGAAACGTGGGCATAGTTCACACTAGTGCAATTGCGATTTCATCCGGGTTTCATTGCCATTTATGTAGTGCAACTGCGTTACGACTTTTTATTGATGCTTTTTTTTTTTTTTTATGCGATTTTCATACTAATGCAACTTTATAAGAAGGAGAATAGTTGAAGGGGGAATGCACCAGAATCACATCAACAAAACACATGTAGATGTGTTTTTGATGCGTTTTTCCATCTCAGTTTATGGGGCACAGAACCTCACTGCATCGCACCAAAGTAGCAAAGGACCCTTCCCTAAACTCGCATCACCGTTGTGTTGCATTGATGTGAACAGACACTACTGAAATGAATGTGATTTGCATTGCAATGCAATTCTTTGCAACCCAAGTCACATCTGAAATCGCACCATTGTGAACCAGGCCTTATGTATGAGTTATTCATGTGAATTATATATTCTCAAAACTTCAAAGACAGACATGCACCTACTAAAAAATCTGAAAATCTATTATATTGAGCTCAGACTTACTAACTCCTGTATGATTACTGTCCTTCAATTCTTTTTTCCATACAGTTACCAGAAGAAATAATGTAACATTTTTTCAGATTGTCTGTCTGCTTTTGAGAATTTTTGCTTTCCTTTAGTTAGTGTCCAATGATGGATTATTTTTACGTTGTAACATGTGCTTTTATGTTTTGCTTTAATTTGTCTTTTTTTTTTTATCAAACTGTGTTCTGCTTTATCTGTCTCCTCCATCGCAGACTTTTGCTGACATGGTGTATGGCATATTTAGCTGGACCATCCCCTTGGCTGTGGCCCTGTCCTGTTTTGGTGGTCTCAACTCCTCCATCCTCGCTGCTTCCAGGTTTGGATCCATAACTGATATTTTTTAAAAGATCCGTCTTAGTCTAGTATTAGCCTCCGGGTAGTAGTATTAAAATTCAGTGTATTAAAATCAGTGTATTAAAAATTACGTTGAAAATCACAAGAACCTTTTAAAGATTTGAGACTTTAGCATTGGGTTCACATTTAGGTTAATGCTGCTGTTATTACAAGTGGTAACCACATGCAGTCAGCAAAATAGATTATTGTTTCTGGTAAAGAGATCCTGTTGCTAACTATCGTCTCTTATATGTTGTAATTTTTATGCAGGCTGTTCTTCGTCGGAGCGAGGGAAGGGCACCTTCCTGATATGTTATGTTTAATACACCTGGATCGGTTTACACCAGTGTCAGCTCTGCTCTTCAATGTGAGGATGGTTTATTTATCTGTTCTTTATCTGCAGTAATTTTACTGAAAACTGTATAAATTCTTATAAATTACATAGATCTCTGAAAGTGCAAAGATGGACACATCTGTTATAAGAATGATGAGTGATAAGATCTACCCATCTTGGTCACCATCACAGACCAACTGCAACTTTTCTCCCCAGTTGGTGATGTTTGTGGCTTTAGTTGATCCTGACATTTTATTTAAAATTTTTAACCATTAGCCGCCCGGCCTATAGCCGTTTGGCGGCCGCAAAAATGGTTTAGCTTTCTGGGGTGTACGCCATTTGGCGTCCTCCCGCACATGCGCAGTTCGCGCGGTTGCGAGCCGCGCAGTGGCGCGATCGGTCACCGGCCGTGTACCTCGGAAACGGCCGATGACAGATCTGAGTACCGGCCCCCGTTGCAGGTACCATGTGACCTGCTGTGACCAATCACAGCAGGTCACGTGACAGTTGTATACAATGGATGGCTTCATTCATGCCATCCATTGTATACTAGTGCCTAGCTGTGAATGGTCACAGCAGGTCACATGCACATATCATGTGATTAGCTGTAGCCAAATCACAGCTAAGCACAAAAAAAAACCTGAATGAATCGATGTCATTCAGGTAAATGCTTGCTTATAGCAAAGTAATTCTTTGCTATAAGCAAATTGTGTAAAAAAAAAAAAAAAAAAACTGATCACTTCCCCAAAGTAGTACAATGTTACTATGGTAACATTTTACTACTTTGGTCATAGTAAAATATGAAAAAAAAAATATATATATTTTTTTTTTTTTTCCATACTGTCACCAGTCAGTGTCCCTGTTCACCGCCATGCCAGTTATATGATGACGCTGTACTGCACTGGTGACCGTATGTAAAAAAAAAATAGTGAAAATTATTTTTTTAATTTTTTTTCATTTTCCGAAAAATTATGAAAAAAAAACACAACTTCAAAAACTCTCCATTCCTCTTATGAAGTACATCGGACTGTCTACTCTGCAAAAAGGGATCATTTGGGGGATATCTGTACTATTCTGACATTCTTGGACCTCAAGAAATTAGAATGGCTGTCAGTACTTCAGGATTGATCAATTTTCAGATCTATACCATAGTTTGTGAACTCTATAACTTTCCTACAAACTAAATAATACATTTTAATTTGGGTTATTTTCACCAAAGACATGTAGCAGAATACATCTCGGCCTAAATTTATGAAGAACAATTATTTATTGGTAAACTTTTATAACAGTAACAAAAAAAAGTTTTGGTCTTTTTTTGTTTAGCAAAAAAATAAAAACCCCAGTGGTGATTAAATACCACCAAAAGAAAGCTCTAGTTGTGTGAAGAAAATGCTAAAATTTTAGTTTGGGTACAATGTTGTATGACCGCGCAATTGTCATTCAAAGTGTGAGAGCGCTGAAACGTGAAAAATGGTGAGGAAGGTGTAAAATTGCCCGGTATAGAAATGGTTAAAGACATTCTGCCCAAGAACGGGTACTTGTGTCATGCTGTTTGTTATTGGCTGGAAAAGGTTCTCCTCTGTGCTCCTCTGATTCTGGTCTAACTGAAGTAAGGACTGTACTTCCTCACCTTGAGGAGGGGGAAAGTTGGTACTACGTTTTGCTACATGGAACTAAATCTGCCCACACATCCCCTGTCCAATAGGATTGATCTAAGGGTGCTAGTGGATGAAGGGATACATTTTCAGGGAACAGATTATAGTCTGGAAGTCAAGCCCTTAGGGCTCGTTTTTATGTAGGTGTTGCTCTCTGAAGAGCGGTTCATTGTGGACTGATTTCTGAGAGCAGTTGACAGGCGGTGAGGAGCCTGTTGCCTCCTGTTTTAACCACTTCCCTACCGGGCACTTTTACCCATTTCTGCCTAGTTTTTGCAAGCAATGTATAAAATATATATCAAGTGAGCCTGCATGTACATTCCCACTTAAAGATGGGCGATGTCACTCAATGTGTTCCTTCTAGATAAACAATTTTTTTCTTTCCCTTTTTTTTCTTTTCTTTTTAGTTTTTGACTTCGAGACCTTGCCTACTGGGCACTTATACCCCCTTCTTACCGAGGCCTATTTTCTGTCGCACTTTGAATGAAAATTTCACGGTCATGCAATACTGTACCCAAACAAAATTTTGATCATTTTTTTCAGACAGATTTCTTTTGGTGGTAATTAATTACCATTGGGTTTTTTTTTTTTTGATAAACAAACTAAAAAAGACAAAAGTTTGAGAAAAAAGTTTTTTTCTTAATTTTGTAAATAAGTAATTTTTCTCCTTCACTGATGTGCGCTAATGAGGCTGCAGTGATGGGCACTGATAGGCGGCAGGGATGGGCTCTGAAAGGTAGCACTCATATGTGGCACTGATAGGTGCCACCCATAGGTGCCACTGATAGATGGGTGGCACTGGCTGGCACTGATAGGTGGCACTGGTTGGCATCACTGATAGGAGTCACTGACTGGCACTGATGGCACGGAAAGGCAGCTCTGGGCACTGATATGTGGCATTGATGTGCATTGGTAGGCACTGATATGTGGCACTGATGAGCACTGACAGGTGGCATTGATCGGCACTGGCAGGTGGCACTGATGGGGCTATACTGAACATGAGGGCACTGATCATCACTTCCCTAATGATCAGTGTAGATGTCCTGTCTGAGGAATGCCGCTTACCAGCTTTCTCTTCACGAGCTGTCACTGTCAGCGTGAGGAGTGGACTGCCGATAACCGGTATTTCCTTGTTTACATGTGATTGGACACAGCTGATCATATGATAGTGCCGACGTCATCGGCTCTTTACTGTGATCGGTGATCCGCTGTGTCCCAGGGACACAGCGCACCACCGATCGCTGCTCTCCCCTGGGGGTGCGCATGCGCAGTTAGAATGGGAGGACGTCATATGACATCCTCCCAGAACGAGAGAGCCACCACCCGCCTGTCATTTCCTTATATGGCAGGTGGGAAGCAGTCAAGCCCTAAAAACCAGCATCATCATGACGTGACTGCATGCATTGCAGGGTGATCTTGGCATGGGTTTGTTCACTTGAATCTGTCATATAGAGGGGCTGGGCCACAAAGAAAAGCATTGCAGCTATTTAAAGTATTCAACCTTATCTGGCTGCCTTTGTTGCTTAAGGGTGGGGTGCTAAAAATAAAATTCCACCGCCTTTTTACTGCGCACAACCATGAATGTAAACTTAGCCTAAAAAAACAAGTTAATTATGCATAAAGGGTCATGAAAATACGTTAAGTGTATAAAAGAGGCACCTTGCAGTACATACATTTTTAATACTTCAAGATGGTTGATGGGGACACATTAAATAGATTTTCAGTTAATAATATATAGTTGCATGTTAGGTGTAACAATGCTGGTAAAAGTTTAATTGGTTACCTGCATCCCTACTTTCTATTAGCTGAAACTGCCAGTCTTCTGGATGAATTGGGGATTGAATAGCTTTACTTGCGCCTGAGAAAGGAGCTGCCATATTGTTGGCAGTTAACCAGTTGAACAATACATTACCTATGTATATGTGGAATTCAACATTAAATGCAGAGATTTTGCATAATGTTTGAAATATCTTTGATTAATAACAAACCCTTCCCTGTGTGTGTCCATCATCACTTGATAATTAAAGTGTTACTAAACCCAGGACCTTGCATTCAATATATCTGGTCTCCAACAGTGCACAGAACATGGAAATGCAATTATTGTAGTAAATATAAACTGCTAAATACCTTTCCCCATTAGCAGTATAAAACAATCTTGTGGCTTCTATCAGTGTCCGCCTAAGCACTGGTTAATCTTGTAGGACGAGTTTTCATTCTGCTTTGACTGTCCAACGAGGCTGCCTAATCCCTGACCCTCTGGCTGGACAGTGCTGCTTGGCCCTGTGCTGATCACATGCACCCTCCCAAAGCAAAACAAAACCTCTCTAGCCATGCACCCCAAACTGAGCATTTGCAGAGTGACTCCTAGAGCTCAGTACGATCAGCAGATGGATTGGGGACAGTAGAAGAAGGGGAGGATCAGAGAAGACAGGATCAAACATCCTTTTTACACATTGTGGAGGATTAACCCTTTAGGTTCTACAGTGAGTATAACGAGCATGCTTTACTGCATATACAGACTGATTTTACTGTTGTGGGTTTAGTAACAGTTTAAGGCTTTCCTTTCCTGTCAGAAATGGCAGGCTATGGGTGCCAACTTCACTCTAGCCATACTTTTTTTTTTTTTTTTTTTTTTACAGGGATCAGAAAGAAAAATAAATAAAATATATACAAAATGCATAACAGAAAAGCAATGCACAATTTGCTTATTTTGTGTGTTTTTCTTTATCTAAAAAATTTTAGACCCTTTAAAGGTTCTCCTACTTGCTAAGATTCAACCTTCACCTATTTGTCTAGGAGTCCTTGCCTAGCTCTCCACTTATTTTTATGTATTCTGCTTTGTTGTTGTCTTCCTAGGACATCGAGGCCATCACATTGATTGTCTGTGTTCTCATCTATTATTTATATAGTTTCTACTGAACAGACATTATACACTGGCTGCTTGAGAGCAAACTCTTCTACAAAGTTCATGATGCAAGCTTAGTAATTCCTTCATTTCCCGTTGTTGTAAAAGTAATCTAAGCAGCTAATTGGCCACTTGATTGCTTTTACAGGTGCCTCTCCCCCACTGCCCACTGGTGCCTCACCCTGGGATCACTGCCCCGCCAGAGAACCTGGAACTGAAGCCAGCAGTTCTGCTGGCTTATTGTAGAGAACTGAAAGGTCTCCAAAAAATAAAAACACCCAACCCCCCCCCAAAAAAAAACAGCCGCACACAAATATAAAAAGGGGCAGACTCAATGGACGACTCTGCCTTTTTCTGCCACTTTTCTATGTGTCTGTATCTCCGATGAGCTCTGTGGCATAGGAATCCAGATGCGATGAGTACTGTTGTCACTTATGATTTCTTGGGAAGTACACAGCGCCATTTTTAAATCCTTGAAAGCTTTTGATCATACCGATCTCCGTGTGATCAGCTGCTTTTAGGGCAGAGGAGAGGTCTGGGGTCTAATAGACCCTTGATCTCTCCATTAAGATCACCAGTCATAGTCTATTGCTGTCACAAGTGATGTTTATATTCCTTGTGACTGCAATAAATGTGATTAAAAAAAAAAAAGAAGAAACCGTGTAAAAAATAAAATAATTATTAATAAAATGTAAAAAATGTTAAGCTCCCCCTGTACTCCTGTGCTCGCGTGCAAAGGCAAACACATGCGTTGGTCCTGCACGCATATGTAACCTGCAATTGCACCACACATATGAGGTATTGCTGCGAACATCAGAGGAAGAGCAATATTTCTAACACCAGACCTTCTCTGTAACTCTAAAGGGTAACCTGTAAAGGCCTATAAAGCTTTGTCTATGGAGATTTTTAAATACCTTAGTTTGGCGGAATTCTACACAATTTTAAAGCATGACGTGTTTGGTATCTATTTCTTTGGTGTAACATCATATTTTATATTTTAAAAAAAAAAACTGGGTATTTCAATTGTGTGTTGTGTGCATTAAAATTCAAGAAAGTATATTTTTTTCCCCAAAATTCTCAAATTCCGTGTTGCATAAATAATTGCAAAACCCACAATTTTAATCTCTATGGCCTCTACTAATAAAATATAATGTTTACAGGTTCTAAGTAATTTTCTAGCAAAAAATACAGATTTTTTAAATGTAAACAAAAAGTGTCAGAAAAGGTTTGGTCTTTAAGTGAATATACTTACCTGTGTCCCCTCTTCTGAATCAGATCTCTCTTCTCTGTTGCTATGATTGCTTCCAGGTATGTCTGAAGCCTGCGGGTCCCAGCTGCATGCTGTGGATCCAACCAACTACACCAGGGGTCTCCAAACTATGTCCCTCCAGGTGTTTAAGGAACTGCAAGTCCCCTGAGGCCTTGCAAGACTCTGACAGCCACAGGCAAGACTCCCAGAGGCAGGGGCATGGCGGGACTTGTAGTACTTCAACAGCTGGAGGGCCATAGTTTGGAGACCCCTGAACTACATTGTTACTAGTTTGTCTCTGCAGGTCTGAAACATCAAATCCGATGGACACTAAACTAATAAAAGTATCCTTATTCAGCAAAAATAATCCATACACATCCATTACGTGGTGGCCCTGTAATTATTTTTCATAACATGTTTTCTTCTGTGTTTTCTGCCTTATTGTAACATTCTCCATTACTCCCCGGCCTCTCCTCTTCCCTCTTTTATCTGTTTATTTAGAACAAGCACATGCACTGCTCTATGTTCTCTACACATCCCATAGTACATAGTCCATCTCAGGAGCGAGCAAGAATATGTGGCTACATTCCTACTTACAGTGGGACCATAAAGCATGAACGTAGCCACCCTCTAATAGAAAAGAATTTCCATTTTTTTAAACCAGTTTAGTGTCACTTTGTCTCAATGCATTTTTACCTGTCTGCATGAAATTATCCATGCTGTTGAAGTTTTGCTTGCTCATGTGGTTCCCAGTTTATCTCTAGTTGGGAAGCACTCCTCATTTTGTACAGTGAATATGTCTCTTGCACATAATTTCTTTCATTTATCAGGGTGGAATTGAGAATAGCTAGATGTAATATAGATTAATGATGGTATTCCCTTTTGCAGTGTGCTGCTACCCTTGTATACCTGTCTGTGAAAGATGTCTTCCAGCTGATAAATTACTACAGCTTCAGTTACTGGTTTTTTTGTTGGATTGTCCATTGCAGGACAAATATATCTGCGCTGGAAGCAGCCCAACATGCCAAGACCTATTAAGGTAAGTGATAACATTATGATACAGGTCTAGAAACAGCATTATTTGTAATAGATTCCATTAAATGTATCTTCTATCGGTATTATGTGTCCAAATGCCTGAAGGATTTATTGTGTTCATCTGCAGACACTTTACAGCAGTTGGTTCCCTATGTGACATAATACACGTCACTTCCTGGTTTATTCACCAGCGGGAGGATCAGCGATTGGACATTTGCTGAGCTTCTTCTGCTCTACCGTGCCCTGGGCCCGCATTGCTGCCAAACAAGCTGCTGATAAGGCTTGTGCTTGTAATTCATACTGGAAAAAATACCATTGTAGGTCCAATTCACTTCTGGTTTAAGGGTTGCCAGTCAAACCCTGATGAAGGGGCACTTGGACCCCCTAAAACATTGCTACTTTTTAGATTGTACCCCTGAGTTTTAATGGAATAAAGTTGTATCTGGACTCCTGTGGTGTGGTAGGTACTTACATTTTCTTGTTACATTGCACTACAACCAAGGAGACTGTGGAGACCCTCTGGGGTGTAGAAGCAACCTGCCCAAGAACCAGATCATTTGCACCAACATCAATACCTTAAGATAACAATACCTGTAAGATAACCCTATAGGTTCCACTTTCCTCATATAGGCCCGCAGGTGGGTCAGTAGAGCCCAGGACACATGGTGGGACGGGAGTCAGCATGCTGCAGTGGTTATGAAAGAGATCAGGGTGCTTTATAGCTGACTGAATCACTTCCATCTGAAAGCTGATAGCTTCACAAGTACACACCGCAACTGGGAGTGTGTTTTAATAAAAGGGCGATCTCAGCGCACTAATGGCTAATGTCCAGTGCTATATATGTCCATATTCCAAATAACGTTTATGACCAATAACCGCTTCAGATGGCAGCCATCTCAGAGTGAGCCAGCTCTGTATGCAAAGGAAAAGGAAAAAGAGAGGTGCCTTCTGAGTGCAGTATGTAAAGGAAATGTATTAATCCACAATGTAAAAACTCACATATAGGGAAGTAAAAACAAGCCCATCAGTAGACCGTTTGCTGTGTCCTGCAGAGGTCTGTCCCGTGTGGAGCTGGCTGCTGGGGGAGATGACAAATCCCGAGTAGCTGGAGAGCGTGGAGGTCTCACAGTGTAAGGTGAGCGTCAGACAGAGTCCCTGGGAGCTAGAGACAGTCAGGAGTCCAGTGCTCCGTTGTCCGACCGGAACTGGAAATGCTCTTAACCAGCGTGAACCGCAGCAGGGGTTTATCCCAGCACCGTTTATAATGGTGCTGGATCTCAAGAGGTTAATGCAACCCTGCTTTACAATTCAGATAAGTGCCTGCAAAAGAATAGTTAGTATACAGTACTTACTTCTTCAGTAGCCCATGTCTCCTACTTTCCCCTCATTAGAGTGCTGAAGCCTATCTAAGAATCCTCCACATTCAATTACATAGTTAGTCTGGCTGAAAAAAGACAAAAATCCATCCAGTTCAACCAATGAAAAAAAAAAAAAAAAGTTATAATCCTACACCCACAGTTGATCCAGAGGAAGGCAAAAAAAACCCAGCAAAGCATGATCCAATTTGCTCCTGTTGGGGAAAAAAATTCCTTCCTGATCCCCTGAGACGCAATCGGATATTCCCTGGATCACCCAGTTCTTCAGGTGTGTTGGATGCATTCCCCCATTGAGCTTCGTGGTTTCATCATCCAGTCATTGTTGTATCCTCCTTTGGCACAAGGATTGGAAGATGGGATCATGGCACACGGTGGGAAGACAGGCAAATGACAGACAGTGTTGGCTGCTAAAGTGGCTTTTAGAGGCTTTGGCTGTGAAACAGACGGGGAGGGTAGGATACACGGGCTGCCAGAGAGGTAAATATAAAAGCTTTCCTATTGTAGAGACCATTTTAATCTGTGTCTTTTTAAACCTGACATGGGGACCACGCTGTCAGACACACCCCAAAGTCGTAATATCAGTTATACATTTAACTAGATTTATTAGAAGTGAAATTCCTCAATAATATTTGGCTGAAAACTAACAAACCCTGATCAATCAATGACCGAAGTACAAATTGCTATAATCCCTGTGACATCGACTCCTCATTTACCACAAATGCCAGAGACAAACGCTGACCACGGACTACCATTATTCCTGTTTGGACACACATACTAAAGATTGGTGGGTAGCGGGGCGTTTGTTCTTTGTTCTTAACGGTTTTGTTCATTTTGTGCACCTATGTATAAATATATACCTATGTTTTGAATTTTAAAAATCATATTTTATTTTTCCAATTAAGAAGGGTTCGGTGAATGCGGAAACTGGTGGGGTTCAGTACCTCCAACAAGGTTAAGAACCACTGTGTTAAATGGCTTAAAGTGGGCCTTCCCCCCCCTGGATGGTCATGTACAAAGTAAAGACCTAACAAAGATACATATTCACTCTTCCTGCAGGCTTTTCTTCTCAAGAATTTTGTTTTATTCTTTGCAGAACTCTCCTCCTGGCACTCCTTTTCAGAAAAGGCAGAGCATTCAGTCTCTCCTTACCACCTGATGTTCTTACCCGCCCCCTTTGCCTATATGACATTTGTCTTTACCAGAAATCTTGTGAAATAGATAATTAGATATATATACACACACACTTACACACAAATATACACACTCACACTTTCAGATACACTCACACAGACGCGCACAGTCACACTCTCAGGCGCGCACAGTCACACTCTCAGGCGCGCACAGTCACACTCTCAGGCGCGCACAGTCACACTCTCAGGCGCGCACAGTCACACTCTCAGGCGCGCACAGTCACACTCTCTGGCGCGCACACTCTCTGGCGCGCAAACTCACAGATACACGCGCGCACACAATTTGCCAGGAAGGCACTAGGTAAGGTAGCCTTCCCAGAATGCATTTGTGAGGCTCTGGCTATATCACAAGTGCTTCTAGAGACCAGAACATGCAGTGTAAATGTAACAGCCACATTTTTTTTTCACCACAGAAACTAAGAAGTTTTGACATCAGCATGCAGAGCTGCATGCGATAAATACTAAATAAATACAGACCTATAAATTTACAAATGTCTAGATTACAATGGGAATTTTGTATTTGGTTACAAGCATTTTGTATCAATATTGCGCATAGTGCTACTTTATTAAATTACATATATCTCTTGTGGGGTTTTTTTGTTTGTTTTTTTTAATTAATGATTTTTCCAATATTTCTCTTTTCAGCTTAGTCTCTTCTATCCAATCACATTTTGCCTGTGTACAGTGTTCCTCATCGCAGTCCCATTGTACAGTGATACTGTGAACTCATTCATTGGAATAGGGATTGCTCTTTCTGGCGTTCCTGTCTATTTCATGGGAATTTATCTTCCAGAGTCTAAAAGGCCACCGTGTATTGGCAGATTATTAGGTAAGTAATGGTATTGCTGAGAGGGAAGTGTGTGTTTAAAGAGCTTGTTTTCATAAACATAAGAAACCTGACTGGATCAAATCCTACTTTCAGGAATACATGGAACGATAATCACTCGAAATTAGTCCTTTAAAGAGGAACTGAGCAATTTATGTTATGCCAAAAAAAGGCATACAAGACAAAGGACTGGTCTCTTGCCTGTGGTCCCCATGCAGCTGATCCTCCCTCATTACGAACTAAAGTTTTGTTGAGGGTTGGCACCCATTCTGCTTGCAGGCTGCCTTTATTTTTGCACCTGCATTTTCCCCTGGCTTGTGTGCTAGCAGCCTTTTGAAGGTGAATACAGATGGAGTCGCATGTCAAAATTTGACAGCCGTGCAGTATCCGCTGCACAACCCCTGAACGCAGACAGTGTGAATTGGGGCCGTGCAGTAATTCCTGCACATCTGTCAAATTTTGACATGCGGCTGTGTCTGTGCAGCTGCTGCTTATGCATGGAGGCAGGCACAAACACAAAGGCAGCCTGTAAGCAGGCAGAGCCATCCTATTGCACGGGTGCCCCAGGTGAATGGAGACCCGTGCAGTAGCCCCCTCTTTCCCCTAGCAGGGGGAATCCGATAGTGGACAGAGCGGGAGATCAGTGCGTGGGTGGGGGAAATAATTGGATCCAATGTTCTGTGTTGCTCTCACTGCAGTAGCTGAAAGCTGACATCTCCTCCTCCCTCCTGCCATCTTTCAGCTGCTAAGGGTGAGCTACAAAAGATTGGTTCCAGTAATTTCCCCCACCTGCTGCACTGATATCCTCCTCCTGTCCACTATCTGATTCCCCTGCTGCCTGGGAGCCCCCCTATGTGCCCCCGTCCCTCCCCCCAGTGCTGCTGGCTTTCTTCCTCCCACCAGCAGCTACAGGCACACAGGGGGACCTTCAGGATGGACAGATATTTCCTTTTCTGAATGAACACAATGAGTGATTGGTACTGATTACTCACTGTGTGCATTCATAACTGAAACATAGTAAATTGTGTTTATTTTGCTTCGTTTTATGAATGAACAGGAACCGATGACCTAGGCAGCAGAAAGGAACTGGGGAATGTATTTCCTCAGTCCCTTTCTCTTTTCTCTGTCTTAAAAGTGAGACTTTGGTGAGATATCAGAGGTCTGAACATACCCCCAAAGACACCCCCTTCCCAAACAGCATTGTAGCAAAGAATGTAAAAAGTAATTTTAAGAAATTGTAAAAAAAAATTAAAAATTGTACATCTGAATATAATGCTATGCTCAATATGTAGTGTACCTATGAATATATCCATTTCCTTCAACCAATGAATATAGGCGCTTTTTGGCCTACAGCAACTGTTCTCCAGATTTGCAATCCTACCATGTGGTCTTCTGTTCCACACATTCTCTAAGTTCCACCAGGTGGAGTTTGCGGCCTCACCTGAGATAAGCTTTGGGCTTAAAGCCTAAGCCCTGGTTCACACCGCTGTGACTTCAGATGCGACATGCAATTTACAAATCGCACCTGAAGTCGCATCTAATGTATTTCGAATGCACTGTCTTAATAGGTCCAATTTCAAGTAGCGCAATTTGAAAAAGTTTCTGCATTACCTTTTCACCATGTCAGTGCGATTTAACTTTCATAGACTAGGTAAATGGCACTGAATTCGTACTATATCGTGTCTATATCAGTGCTACTTTGAAGTCCCGCTTTAAATGGGACCAAATTGCACCACTTTAAAATCGCAGTCAGTGTGAACCAGGGCTTACTCCAGGCTTACTCTACCTTTTAGCCCTGGTTCACACTGGAGCGACTTGGCATGCGATTTGAAACTTGATTTGAAAAAAGTCATACCCTGTTGTCTGAAATGGAACTGTTCAAATTGTCGCGATTCTGCTGGAGTCACACCGATTTTGAAAGTAGTTCCTGCACTACTTTTTGCGATTTCAGGTGTGATGTGCAAAGACATCTGTGCATGAATTTGCACAGATGTCTTCCAAGTCGTACCTGAAAGTTGCACTGACATGCAACTTTGAAATCGTGCGACTTCACTTGATTTCAAAGTCTGATCCAGTGTGAACCAGGGCTTAAACTAGTTTAGTTGGGCCAAGCTGGCCCAAATTAACTATTGGCTACACTAACAGGTGTATTTATAATTATTACTCACATGGATAATATTTTATATTTTCTTTGTTCACAGGTATAATTGTAATATTTATTTACTAGCGCAAATTATTTTTGTGTTTTTTTTACACTTTATTAATTTATGGTGGATTTTGCAGCTGGTATATCAGTTAGTGACCCACATTTTTTTCTCTCTCCATAGGCGCCATTATATTTATTTACTAACAGGTGTACCTGCTGGACACGCTGTATAAACTTTACGTAGAATGAGTTACATGCAGTATACAGCACTGTGTTCCTTTAGAAGGATGGGAACTTCCTGTCCCACTCCCAGAACAAAAACGGAGTTAGCCTGCGCACTGCTCAGCCATTCGTAGGTATCTTTGTATTCTGTGAATGAATACAAAACTTCCTCTGGCTGAGGCAGAGATTATGGTTTCATCCACCCGCCTCTACATAGTCTCAGTATTGTTTTGCTGCAAAACTGAGCCATTCTGGTAGGTTGTTTTTTTTGTTTTTTGTTTTTGTTTTTTTTTTTGCCAGTGTCCAATGCTTTAGTAGGCAGCAATATTAACCCGAAAGCATAAGTCTTTTTGTGTTCCTTTTAACCACTTCAAGTCTGGACACTTTTACCCCCTTCCTGTCCAGGCCAATTTTCAGCTTTCAGTGCTATCACACTTTGAATGACAATTGCGCGGTCATGCAACACTTAACCCATATGAATTTTTCATTTTTTTGAGACAGATAAAACTTTATTTTGGTGGTATTTATTCACCACTGGGATTTTTTTTTTTTTTTTGCTATATAAATGAAAATGTCCAAACATTTTGGGAAAAAAAGTGTTTTTCTTATAAAATTTTGCAAATATCTTTCTTCATAAGTCTTGGCCAAAATGTATTCAGCTATCTTTTTAGTAAAAAAAAAAAAATAACCGAAATTAGTTTATAACTGAAAAATTATAATTTTTCAAAAAAAGTTTGGCATTTTCATTTTATTTGTTTTATATTATATATTTTTTTTTTCATACTGTCACCCTAGCAGTACAGTGTCACCATAGTGACACTGTACTACTTGTGGGGGGGAGATGAAGATTTTTTTTTTTTTTTTAACACTGATTGCTTTTACTCCCATAAAGGCTGTACAAACAATAATTTCTCCTCTCTGGCTGCATTCTTGCAGCCATTGAGAAATACTGTGTGAGCTGTGATTGGTCACAGCTTGTCACATGGTACAAGGCTGTTGTGAATAGCCTTGTACCATGTGACCTATGTGATCATTCATAGATTTCAGACGTAGTAAGCAATGATGTCAGAAGTGACATCTTGCTTACTACTATTCATGTGATCACTGATTGGCCAATCAGTGGTCACATGATTGGGACCTCACACAGAGATCCTGTACAGGACACAGTGGGCACTGGATCACGGTGCCGTGTGCTTCCAGGGAGCGTGCACAGGCAGGGAAGTGGGAGGACTTTTATAAACGGCCACCTGCTCCTTTTCTGCCGTTTATGTACATGGGCTGGACGGGAAGTGGTTAATATTTGTTACCATTGGTACAAAAAATCCTATTTTACGCCAAAACAAGAGTGTGAGAGGACCCGGTCTGCTTTTAGGTATAAACACTTATTAGGGGGATCAAGCCACATGTATTGTTGCTGATACACCATTTGCCATGCACCACAAGCATCTCGAGGAATATTATAAATAATATTCTCTCCACTTGCCTTTTTAGCTTTCCTCACAAGATGGACCCAGCTGATTTTTAACTGTGTCTTGACGGAGATCGACATACCAGAAGAGAAAAAAACAATCGTAACGTCAGAGAAACCATTATGATTACAGACTTCAAAATAAAAAACAACATTGTTATAAGGAAAAGGTGATTTCATGTGACAAGAGTTTTGCTTTACTGGAGACGGTTCTTGATAATGAAGAGGACCAGCTGCACTGGAGAGAGACAAAGTAAATTATATGGCAAAACAAAAAAAATAATTGCTTGAATTACACCTTTTGAAAGGTTTCACAATTCCAGATGTTAGAAGTTTCAAGTGATATACACTCCTTTTTATGTCAATTTTATGTGTATTTTGTGTTTTTTTTTTATTTTCTCCCTTTTTAAATTTCCAAAAATGTTTACCACATCCACCAGCAAACTGCTCATCAGGGAAACTCCTTACCTGTCAGCCTTCATTAAAGCTTAAAAAACAAAGAAAGCCAAAAAGAGAGTTACAGGTGAGGAGATGTGCGCACTTGAAGGTGTGGACAGTGGTTGAGTTCTGTACATGCAAATTGCAGATCTTCATGTTAAGACTTTGTACTATGATAAAGCAACTATCTAACAGTGTCGTAGACCAGTGTTTCACTACTAATTTCAACTAGGTATCCCCTTTAAATACCAGTGTTTACCAACTACCCCTTATGGTGACCTCATTTATCTAAATGATCAATAAGTCAATCACTTAATGAGACTAAACTGAATAAAAATTGCAACTATTCAGTCAATTTAGTAAGCTGAAAATTGATTGATTTTTTTTGATTGGTTCACAGACTTTTTTTAATTACTTCTGATTCATAGGACAAATATCTGCATGTGTTTGAGAACCATTCCTATTACAGACTGATTAACAGATTGTTTAGATTTTTGACTGATCATTTTTTTGGAGGTTGATATTTTCAGGCGATTGCAAACTGCAGAACATTTCCACATTGCTTGATTTATCTAAATCACTGATGAATCAGTTTGTTCACAATCGCCTATACCTAGATCAATCACAGATCAACAGATTTTTTTTTTTTTTTTTTTTAAATAACTGTGTATGGCCACCATTAGTGTGCATCAGCCTATCCTTATGATGCATTGTTGTCTCCAAGTAACCTAGGAGCAAAACGCATCTGTTAACCCTTTGAGGACCAAGGGACGTATTTGTCCCATGTTTGTAATTGCGTGTATCATCTGATTAAGAACTTAAAACTTTTTTTTTTTTGGTTTGAGTCAAAATATTAGTTCTTATCAACAAACAACAAATGGATCTAGCTTTTTGCCAATTATTTCATGAAATGGCTTAGTTACAGCAACTGAAGTGTACGAACTTTAAAAACAAAAAAATTGATTCTTTTGGCGTTCCAAAACCTTACGGTCCTCAAAGAGTTAAAGGAACTTACTTTGTCAGGTGGAAATAGCCTTGCACTTGTTGGAAGAAAGCTTGTGCCTACATGTTCCAGCCGAGAAGAATGGAAAAACTGGTACTTTGGTAGAGCAAACAGCAGACTATAGTGTAGTGACCGATGCCTCCGGGAGCATATGCTTGGTTGTGGCTACTTCTATGGTGCCTCTACCAGTAATATTGACCCTTAGTCCAAGATAATGAACTTCTCATGACGTCTGATCACTGGACTTTTCCAGCTACACAGAAGCAAACCCTGGACTACAGGGGCAGGAAGCACTGACATTTATTGGAACTGATCCCCTGTATTTTCCTCTTTCAGCTCCTGCATGCCAGGGGGAGGGGGAGAAGGCTTTAAACTGCTGGAGGAAAATACAGGAGATCAGTTCCAGTAAATGCCACTGCCCCTCCAGTCCAAGGTTCTCTTCTCTGTGCTCCCTTGGTACCTCTGCTCCTGTCTAGGTTCTGGGGGTCTGCAAGGAAGGGACACAATCTACCAGTTACCACCCATATGATCAATGGGTCGCCGACCCCTGCTTTAAAGTGACCCTTTTTCTACAGTGAGTGCACTGTAAAAGCACCCTTTAAAATAACATGTTTGATACTCCCCTTTCCAGGGTGATGTGAGTAAAATCTTTGTTCTCTTGAAGACCTAAGGGAACCAAAAGTATTCAACACTTCTGGGTATGTCAGATAACCAGTTTTCCCACTTGCTGCTGTGGTTCCTCCTACTGGCTTTTTCTGTCCATACTAGGTCCTGTAGTGATATGGGCAGCTGTCAAGGAAGACCAGATATCCAATACACCTAAGCCAATTGGACCTAATGAGCACTGGCAAAGTAAATATTAAACATGTTCCTGTACAGGGTGCTTTTGACTTTGTTTTGTCACTGTAGCAATAAGGTAATTTTATACCAGACACCACCCCCTATTCAAAGCAGAATTCCAGTTAATCATTTTTCTAAAATCTGCTGCTTTCTGTATATTTCCAACACTGTGGTTCTCATACACTGAAATCATATAGTTGTTTATCAGCCCCATTTCTCCCCTTGTCTGTTCAAAGAACGCCTTGGATTTGTGAATGGTTCACAGAATACAAGGCATTCTGTGAATGGACACTGGGAGAGGAGCAGCAGTACGAGATTAAAAAAATTACAGCTTCTGGTTAAGAGCGCTATAGCTCTCTTAGTTGCAACAAGTAAGAGCAGCAGTCCTGAAAATGGCATACACCTATAACAAACAGACTTTTACTTTGCAGAGCAGATTTTAAGAAATATTTGCCTGGAATTCTGCTTTAAAGCTTGTCTACAGTGGTTTGGGTTGGGGATGTGTAGACAAGCTGAAACAGTATTAGTACAGTTTTTGTTGCATAAAATACACCACAAAGTGGCCTGAACAGTAAAAAAAAAAAAAAAAAAAATGACCATATCGAGCATGATTTTTCTGCCTGGTGGAGTGTCGCATTTCTGTTCATAGGAAAAACGCAGCTGTCGGTAAGGAACACAATGGTGTTCTATGTGCTCAGTCCACACTTCAACACAGCTATCAGCTGCGCTGCGGAAAACGACAACATTTCTGCATTTTTCCACACAAAAGCAGCTGCACTGTAAACCAATGTAGCAGAAAGTAAAGAGCAAAAATAAATTGATGACTGGCAGATGATTGACCTGCACACAGATAAAGGCAGTATTTAAGAGAAAAAAAAAATAATTCTGTACACAAGTGTGAATCTGCCCTAAAAGACTGCAATATAAAATATTAACCATTTGCTGACTGCCCCATTGCAGATATACTGCTACCTGGTGGCTGCGCTGTACAGAATCACGTATATAAACATGATTCTGCACTTCCTGGTCACTGGTGTGCATGTGTGATTGGTCGCAGCCAATCAGTGAGTGCCAGCCAATGGATTACTGCCAACACCTGACGATCGTCTGGGCCAACCAGGGTGCCTTGAGGTTTCTTCAGGGGTGCCTTGGAAAAATATCTAAAAATTGCTTAAAAATTGTATACAAGCCAGCTGGTGGAACAAGTGTGCCTTTTAGTTACATAAAGCTACAGGTTTTCGTTGTGCACCATTAGGGGCCTTCTAGCCGCCGGTGTCCTGACAGCCAATGACATCATCAGTTGATAAGGAAGATGTCGGCTGCACAGCATCCTAGTTTGACCCTCCCCTGCCCCCTCTCCATCAGTGCTGGAGTCACATTAGCTCAGTGATGGAGAAAAACTGAGGGAGAAGAGAAACATTGGAATACTAGTCAGTGCCAGTGTGCAAAAGTGTATTTGCTTTGGAAGAATAAATCACCTCTAATGTTGTTGGGTGTCCTATATGTGTGGATGTTGCTGTGTTATTTAAAACTATTAGATTAGTTTTTCACATTTTAGAAAGGAATTTCCTTTTAAAATGGTGGACAGTTTTGAATGGGGTGTCTCAAGACTGTCCATAGTTTTAACCACTTCCCGATCGGCCGTTGCATATAAACGGCCAGACGGTGGCACTGCAGGGTCGGGTGGCCGTTTAGAAACGGCCTCCCCGCACCCTGCTTGTGCGCGCTCCCTGGGAGCGTGCAGCACCGCAGTCCGGTGCCCGCTGTGTCCTCCGGACACAGTGAAACACCGATCGTCGGACGGGACCTTTGTACGAGGTCCCAATCATGTGATCACTGATTGGCCAATCAGTGATCACTGATTGGCCAATCAGTGATCACATGCAAAGTAGTAAGCAAGATGTCACTTGTGACATCATTGCTTACTACGTGTGAAATCTGTGAATGATCACAGAGGTCACATGGTACAAGGATATTCACAACAGCCTTGTACCATGTGACAAGCTGTGACCAATCACAGCTCACTCAGTACTTCTCAATGAGTGCAAGAATGCAGACAGAGAGAAAGAGAAATGATTGCTTTTACATCCTATATGGGTGTAAAAGCAATCTGTAAAAAAAAAAAAAAAAATCTTCATCACCCCCCACAAGTAGTACAGTGTCACCATGGTGTCACTGTACTGCTAGGGTGACGGTATGTAAAAAAAAAAAAAAAAAAAAAAATGTAAAAAAAAAGTTTAAAAATTATAATTTTTGGTTATAAACTAATTTGGATTTTTTTTTTTTTTTACTAAAAAGATAATGGAATAAATTTTGGCCAAGATTTATGATGAAATATTATTAATTTGCAAAATTTTTTTAAAAAAAACACTTTTTTTTTTTCAAAATTTTTGATCATTTTCATTTACATAGCAAAAAAAAATAAAAATCCCAGCGGTGAAAAAATACCACCAAACTAAAGCTTTATCTGTTTAAAAAGGTAAAAAATTCATTTGAGTACAGTGTTGCATGACCACGCAATTGTCATTCAAAGTGTGATAGCGCTGAAAGCTGAAAATTGCCCTGGTCAGGAAGGGGGTGAAAGTGTCCGGTCTGGAAGTGGTTAAAGAGTGCCTCAGGACTTTACGTAATTTTAAAGGGTGCCTTGACTGAAAAAAGTTTGAGGAACACTGATCTAGGAGACTGACAGAACACAGCTCTGCCTATGTAAACAAGCCAGAGATATGTCCTGTCAGTGGAAATGTGCTGGATTCTCTTTCATGCAAGCAGGGAATAGAATCCAGCACATCACCTAGTGAAAACAGCTCACAAAGTAAACATTACACATAGCTAGGCACACAGCTAACCCCTTGATCACCCTAGATGTTTAACCCCTTCCCAGCCAGTGTCATTAGTACAGTGTTGTTCCCACAAAGTGCTAGTTAGTGTCCACCGCAATATTGCAGTCCCGCTATAAGTCGCTGATCGCCGCCATTTCTAGTATTGAAAAAAAAAATTCCAGTATATATACCATAGAGTGTAGGCGCTATAACTTTTGTGCAAATCAATCAATATACTGCTATTTTGATTTTTTTTTTTTTTTTTTTTTTTTTTACCAAAAGTATGTAGCGGAATACATATTGGCCTAAATTTTATGACGAAATTTGATTTTTTTTTTTTTAGCAAAAGTATGCAGCGGAATACATATTGGCCTAAATGTTATGACGAAATTAGATTTTTTTTTATTTTTAGCTATGTTTTGCAGCACACAGTAAAAAAATGTTTTTTCTAAATGTTTGTAATGCAAAAAAAAAAACAGGTGGTGATCAAATACCACCAAAATAAAGCTCTTTTTGTGGGAAGAAATGACAAAAATACCATTTATGTACAGCATTGCATAACCGCGCAATTGTTAAAACTGTTGAAATAATGCAGTGCCATATCGTAAAAAATGGCCTGGTCATGGAGAGCAAATCTTCTGGCGGTCAAGTGGTTAAAGTGATTGTCACCTGCCTAATCAGGGCAAATAGAGGAAAGAGTGGCAGGGTTGTTGCATGGCAAGTACAAGTATGCCGGGGGGAAGGACTTGAGACTCCATACCTTAATGTGACACTAAACTCTGGATTAAAATATTATTATTATTATACAGGATTTATATAGCGCCAACAGTTTGCGCAGCACTTTACAAAATGAAGGAAGACATTACAGTTATGATACAATTTGGTGCAAGAGCAAAAATAAATATATATATGGGGGTTCTTGCCCAGTCCACGTTTCAGCTTTCAGCACTGTCACGCTTTGAAGGACAATTGCGTGGTCATGCAACACTGTACCCAAATTAAATTATCTTTTGTTTTAGACCTATAGAGCTTTATTTTGGTGTGTTTTTCTTCTTTCTAAACAAAAGAAAAAAAGACAACAAATTTGGAGAAAAAAGCTTATTTTTTTAGTTTCTATTATAAAATTTTGCAAATAATTTTTCTTCTTTACTGATGTTTACTGATAATCTGCACTGATTGGTACTGACTGGGTAATCCATGCAGGCAATGTACTGTCAGACTTGCTGATTATCAGCTCCCCTTTCCTCACACAGAGACCGCGTGTGAGGAAAGGAATACGGATAACCGACAAGTCTGTTTACATGTGACCAGTTGTGATTGGACACAGCAGATCGCAGTAAAGAGCCAAAGGACACAGCTGTCACAGAGCACTCCCCAGGGGGCAAGCACATGGGAGGATGACCTCCCAGAACTAGATAGCTGTGCTGTAGTCGTCATTCGGCTATAGCATGGTAGGGAAGTGGTTAAAGTACCTTCTTTTGCTCTTGGCATCCTTCAGTTTTCTTTTTGCTACTGTGATCCAACTTCCTGTAAAAAGGTGGCTACTTCATTTTCCATGGCCCCACTGTATGTAGGAACGTAGCCACCCTCTCCTGCTTGCTCCTGAGAAGATTATGGGATTTGTAGTGTGCATAGAGCAGAGAACATGGCCTCAGCTAATATGATCTACTTATTCCTAGGCCTTTTTTTTTTTCAGTTGGAACTTGGTGGAACTCCATTCCACTGGCTCTGGCTCAGGCCCTCTGCTCCCTGCATACCACTATCACTAGTAAACACAGAAGTCTGGCTTGTCTCCCAACGGCTCTCACAGATGTGAGCCTGAGCGTCTCCCACTGAGTGCAGGATGGGGACAAGGGAGATGCAGGTACACGAGTCGCAGTTTGGAAGCTGACACCCCCGCTGTATGATCTCCCTGCATGTGAGAGAGATGGAGCCACCTACATTTTGCAGGGAGGTACTGGAGCCAGCTGGGTGCTCTAGCTTTATACAGCACCAAAAGTAAGACGTGTAAAATGGTGGTGCTTTTAAGGAGGGGGGTGGGGGGGGGGGGGGAGTGAAGAAGATGGAGGCAGTGAAAGGGGGGGGGGGGGGGGGGTGAAAGCGAGAAGTAGATGTAGAGGTTAGTGGCTTTGGAAAAGGGCTGAACTATGCACTCTGTGTGTAAACACCCCCCCCCCCCCAAACTCTATACCGAATGTACTCCTGATATTTAATGCCCCTTTAAGTCTCACTGCTAGTGAAATTTATCCACATCCACTATTTCATGAAGTTTATTCCTGACGAAAAAAAAGCCCTGCTTGTTCCCAACAGAAATGAGGCAAGGGAGAGATTCAGAAGCTCATGGGGGGCATTACAAGGAAGTAGAAAACACAGAAAGATTTCATTTTACAAAAATAGATCACAGGGCCGTTCGGTAGTGGATATGTATGGATTATTTTTGAAGACGAAGGTTATAGTTTAGTGCCACTTTAAAGGTGCCAAGTGAATGCCTCTTGAAGTAAAAAAAAAAAAAACCTTGATTACAATTGTATTTTAGCTTTTATATGAAATGTGAATACTTTGGGGGCATCTCCACTTTTTACCTTTTTGTGATGGTATAACGTAAACTGTATTGCCAAAAGTATTAGTTGGCCTGCCTTTACAAGCACATGCATTTTATTGGCATCCTAGTCTTAGTCTGTAGGGTTCAATATTGAGTTGGCCCAGCCTTTGCAGCTGTAACAGCTTCAACTCTTCTGGGAAGACTGTCCACAAGGTTTAGGAGGGTGTCTATGGGAATGTTCAACCATTCTTCCCCAAAGTGCATCTATGAGGTCAGGCACTGATGTCAGATGAGAAGGCCTGGCTCGCAGTCTCCGCTTTAATTCATAGCAAAGGTGTTCTATCAGGTTGAGGTCAGGACTCTGTACAGGACAGTCAAGTTCCTCCACCCCAAACTTACTCATCCATGTCTTTTTGGACCTTGCTTTGTGCACTGGTGCGCAGTCATGTTGGAAGAGGAAGGGGCCATCCCCAATCTGTTCCCACAAAATTGGGAGCATTAAATTGTCCAAAATGCCTTGGTATGCTGATACTTTAAGAGTTCCCTTCACTGGAACTAAGGAGCCAAGCCCAACCCCTGAAAACAACCCCACACCACAAAATTCCCTCCACCAAACTTTACACTTGGCACAATGCAGTCAGGCAAGTACCATTTTCCTGGCAACCGCCAAACCCAGACATGTTCATCAGATTGCCAGACAGAGAAGTATGATTAGTTCCTGATTGCAACCTATTGTTTCACAAATGTTTGTAGAAGCAGTCTGCATGCCTAGGTGCTTGATTGTATACACCTGTAGCCATGGAGGTGATTGGAACACCTGAATTCAATTATTTGGAGGGCCCAATACTTTTGGCAACATAGTGTATGTAAAAGCATGAACTGCAAGGATAAAATACAATGTTGAAAGGGGGTGTTGTCTAGTACAAGGAACTCACCCAAGATCTAGTCATTTTATGGAAGTTCACAAGTAATGGCCCTTGAGCATCCAAATGGTGACCTAATGCTATGTACATTGTTAATTTTACTTCGGCTCACATAAGATGACAATTTCTTTAATATTGCAACGTGACGATCCTAGGCTACGGTGGGAATCCTGCAATAACTCCACTTAGGATTTACTGTAGACCCTTCATCCCACAGGTTTGGAGAACAATCCACTCTACAAATAACTGTATATAACTTACAGTAACCTCAACCTAACCCCAAGAATGTGTGCTTGGGTGGAGTTCAGAAAAACATCTGATTGCAGTCACAAAAGTTCAATTGTGTTTTCATGATGCTGAATTCTTGTATGCAGTGGCAGAACTCTGACCAGTAGACAATCCATTGTTTAAAGTTCTTCCTGTTTGTTTAAAATGAACAAGTCACAGAAGTGCATAATTTACTATATAAAACTTTCACCTAGCACAGCGGTTGCCAGCTTATGAATTAAAGATGGCTCATAAGTTGACAGTAATTACATCATGTTCAAGATATGTGATGCTTGAGAGGACTGTCAGAAACTGCAGACCTAATAGAGGAAGTGAGGGTCAGAGAGTGTGGACATGCTATATTTTGGCTGGGGATATGCTGCAGAAGACAATATGAAACTGGACTGCTGAGATCTGATGGCCACCCATTATATACCAAAGGGCTGCAGGTTGGGCACCAGTGACCTAGCACTT